AACCCAAGTACCAAAGATCAGGGCATTCAAGCTTCAGAGAGCACGAAGACAGTGAACTAAGTAATGTTTTCAGTCGCCATAATCTGCATAAATTACGGTTTTCTGTATTAAAGTTTTAGGTTCCGTTTATTTAGCAAAAAATAAACAATTTGAAAAATAAATTTCTAAAAATAATCATTTGCATCGCTTGAAATAATTAGTCAATGGAAAATATATTCATTATCGACAGTAATGTAAAGTAATTTAAGATGTACATCCCCTTAATCTATTTCAACTATACCGTAGACTTATTTTGTTGACAATATAGGCTTTTTAGAAAGATTGTTATATAATATGATATTATCTCATAGGTGTAACATGGAGATTGTTAAGAAATATGTTTGGTATGGGGAAAATTACCCAATCAATACTAAACCTATTGTAGGAATGCTAGTTCAGTTTTAAATTTTTCAATTTCGCATATTTAGTCCTATACTTTTGCGTGAATTTTCAATGTAATCCTTCTAATCAGTTTTCGCCGGAAATTACTAACGTTGCGGTGTGCCACGTAGGACAGACAACAATGATTGGATTGTCACATTACCAATTTTCCCGAAAAAAACTAACCATAATAATTACATTGGAATTTCGCACGAAGGTTTGGATTAAATTGGTAGAATTATAAAGTTCAAGTTGAATTGCATATTTATAACTATTTGGACAATTTTCCCATTCGATAGTAATGTTCGCTGCTGCCCGTGTAAAGCCTAATACTTACTAGAAAGAGTGTTACATACATTACAAACATACTTCATAAATTATTGAAATTGTCAGTAAGGTTGTGTAATAGAAGGTTGCCATAACAATAAGTGAAATTTCAAGTTTTGCTCCCATAATGCTTCATCTGGGTCATATTGGGTTCCTATAGTGCTGCATAATACTCGTCTACGTGATTAAATGCATCACACACGGTTGATGCTGGCCATATGCCAATGGTCCAAGCAAAAGCTGTCTTTGCTTCTCACCACTTGATTCGAGATATTCTTATCAAGTTTGATGCCAGCGAAAAATCATTAAAGGCGAACCCCGTCTTTCCATCTAACGTTGTTAATTTGCGAATTTTAAATTAATGTACAGTGTGGTACATAAAGTTAAAAAGAACATGACATGCGTATTTTAAATGAATGTATAAATGTGTTACATAAAGTTCTCATTCTCACTTTAAATATTATTATATAGTAATTGGTCCTACTAACGAGTGTCTCTAATGCACTTGTTAAGTACACTTATTCAGTATAATTCAATTTTTCAAGGCATTGATTGTACATAATACAAGGACAATCATTGCAGTTAAAACTATTAATGGTTGATTAACATGTGTTAGTTGGAGCACACTTTAATAACACAAGATGGTGAGAATAGTGCAGAGATTATCAAGAAGAGCCTTCACCAATCGACAAGTTGAAGGAGATCGATCGACAAAGTCATCGACAGCAAAAAAAATATCAGATTTCGGCTAAGTGGAGAGGCGGTGCCGTTAACTAACTAACAAGGGTTTGCTGATGCTTCAATCGAAGATGAAGATAGTGAATTGACTCGAGCACATGATCGCCATATGATTATGCCTACAATCTAGGAAGTTGTAACTTCTTGTGGGTAATTCTCGAAGAGCATAATTGTTTGTCAATAACTGTAGATAGTACCAGGAAGCTATTTGTGATTTGTTTTTTGGTCGAAAGAAAATTGTATTCATTGTTCAAAATGATACATGAAAAGTACATTGACTTTCATGGCAAAGAAAATCGAAGCAGAGCAAAGCTTGAAATACAACAAAATAAAGCCAAATCCAGAAAACAAGGATCAATAAGGCACCGGCAGAGTTAAGCACATACTCATTTGATAAAAACAAATATGTCAAGCAAAATAAACGGCGACCGATGATTGGATCTCATATCATCATCAGTGATTAGCATACGCCGAAAAGTCATTCTTCAATTCCTACGACGTTGCCTGTTGGCGGTGCATGCCTAGGTTTGGCTTCCTCTATACCATTGCTGTACAGAGACGACTCAAACAAGTTGAAAACACAGATCTAACTTTTGGAAGAACAAATCTTCATGGTTCTGCTAGACGCTAAAGCTCTTACGATCATCATTGAATTTGGAAGCAGAATACCTGTACACAAACAGAGCACGGGGTATCAAATCCCCAAAAATATTATTAAACTCTCAGATCTAAATCGGGAGAGAAAAGCTTCTAAATCTAGAACTAAATCAGGAAAGTTTAAACTCATATCTAGAATTAGATTGGAAGAAGAGAGCTCCCAGATTTAGATTGGGAAAGATGAAAAAGCAAAAAAAAAAAACAAAAAGACTTGAACAAAATCAACGAGAGGGGAGGGTGAGACTAGCTCAAACCCTCCCCCATGGCTAAAGTTTGAAGAAGACGATGGAAAGAAAAGAAAGAGAGAAAAACTTTTCGGCTTTCCTTTGAATTAAACTTAAATCCTAACATGCGCTATTTGTGAATTCAAACTGCAAAATTGTTAGTAAATACCTGTTGCTAGTGGGATATAAAAACCCACATTGTAATTTTTGCAAAAGCTCACACAATCAATCACGTAACATTTACTCTAGCTCATTTACATTCCTCTTCAAGTTTCCTATAATTTACCTTTCCAGAGCTTGAAATTTCCCAAACCATTTACCTATCTTGAAACCTTTAATTTCCAGTACCCGCATTTACTTTTACAACCAATTAGTTTTCTATCCAAAATCAGCAAAGAACCCATTTTTCCTTAGAAATTCATCGATTTCATCCCTATTTTAAGATTTTCATTTTCTATGAAATACTTTTTAAAGATGCATTTTGGTTGGGCATTTGCAATGGGCTTTGGACCACGAAAGGCTTTTGTTCCAAAGTTGAGATGTTTGGCAAGATAATATCAAAGGCTTTTGAGCCGAAGCTAGCATTTTCAGAAACTCTTAACCTAATGCAAGTCTACCCAACTTTAAGGGATAAGACCAGCACGAGTGTCATAACTTTCATGTGGTGCTCACTGAGGGCCATAACTTTGTTTTTTTCGCTTACTAAAATGCTATATCGAAATAAAATCGATCATTTAAGTGCCACTTCTCACAAATCGTCCTACGTGGATTTTTTTGTATTTTTTTAAATTGATTTTTTTTTATATTTTTTGAATTTTTTATTTGTTATATGTTATTTTCCTTTTTTCTTTGTTTTTTTTTTTTTGTCTTTCGGCCGTGAAGGCCTCGCCCTCTACCGGCGGGACCGCAAAGGTCCTCGGCAAGGCCATTGCCGACTATGGGCAAGGGCCTTCACGGAGGGGCCATGGCTGCCTCGCCAGCCGCAGGTAAGGGCAAGAAGGCCCTCACTGGATTTGGGTGAGGCTAGCGGCGGATTTTCCGGCGAGGCAAATTATAAATGGCACTAAATTGATTGATTTTTCAAATGTGTGGCACTTAAGTGAGCGAAAAAAAATTATAAAAATTGTTTACGTCGGCACCGGTAATACCGCCTATGACAACCAGCATCCATGTCGGATTTTCCAGCGAGACAAATCAACAATGGCATTTAAGTGATTGATTTTTTAAATTTGTGGCACTTAAGTGAGTGAAATGAAAGTTACTTAAGCGCCGAACGAAAGTTATGGCACTTTTGTTGTTTTTATCTCTACCATTGACTTTAAGCATTTATGGAATACTACAATATTTTTTTCTTCCAACTTTGCCCTCACTAAATTATCTAAATTCGAGGCTTACCCTCACCATTTTCACTGTGTTGCCTCGTGCAACATCGCTGGCTAGGTTGGCGGTCACATATGGCACCGGTGAGCCTTGCCTAAGGTCGTGCATCCTCCGGCGGATGAGGTGGGTGACCTAAGGGCATGCCTAAGTTGGGGTTTCCTTTTATTAATTTATAACTTAATAATTACTTTTTAGAATAAATACAATACTGTTTACCCAAACACTATTTGCAATTGTCATAACCATTTAATCTAAAGTCCTTCGCATTACGTAAATAGGCATCTCGCCAAAGCTCTCCCAATCGCACCCTAAGTAGTAGCAAGAAGCAAATATACTCTTGCTTGGATCGATTGCATGCTAATGACCCCATTCCAGCATGGATTGCATTTAATTACATTAACTCAGTTGTTGGGAATCAAGAACGTACCCTTTCCTTATCATCACATATGATCCAGAAGACCAAAGAGGGGGCGAAAGGGTCTTTCCACCTCCGATTCCCCATGGATCATCTACCCGTTCAAACAATGTCATCGTCTCTGGCCCTCGTACCCTAAATTTTATTCGCCCACCGTTAAGAAGAAATTGGTCTTAATCATGTCCTTAAAAAGCTTTATTCGGACTTAGGGATATTAAAATAAGAGGATAATCCATACATCTCACGAAAAAAAAAAAAAAAACCTTGGAAGAGACATGGGGCAAAAGGGTCTGTCCACTTCTGATTCCACGGATTCTCTATCTATTCGCTAAAACGTCGTCGTTCCTGGCCCTCACACCCTAATTTATATTCGCCCACCGTCAGGAAGGAGCCCGACAAAAAACACGACCCTCGCCGTACTGCCTCCCGGTATCGATCTTGGACTTACGCAGCAGCCTCGTGGGGGCCATCTCCCTCGGACATGGTCCTCAACGGGGGGTCGAAAAAGCGAATGAAAATAAAAAAAAGAAAGGGATAGAATCTAGCTCATCGACTGCGATCTGAGGATGAACATAGCATTCCTTGTATTGTCGGCTTTTGGACATCGGAGTGAGTGAGTGAGTGGAGCGAGAGCGAGGGAGTGAGTGCGAGCAGAACAGAACCTGCAAAACCGCGTTGAAAGTAAGGGGAAAAAGAGGGGAACACTCCCCTTTTCCCCCACACGAACAAACACTTTAAAAGAACAGCCCACCATGTGACTGACTGATCTCACCTCACCGCATCCCACCGCATCGAAGTCCCTCACCTCCCTGCCATCAGCCGACGCTTGAAAGGTATATATAACCCCCATCCCATCTCCTTCCTTCCCCCTCTCTCTCTCTCTCCTTCCCCTTCACTCCATAATTGCAGATCCAATCCAAGCGGGCTAGAGAGCTCGGAGCGTCGGAAATGGCTCCGCTCCCGCGCTTCGGTTGCAGAAGGGTTGCTCTCGTTCTTCTCTGCGTTGCTGTTGTTTTCTTGGGTTCCTTCGTCTTCCTCTGCGCCGGTGCTGGCTCGGAGTCTCGGATTCGGAGCGAGCAGTCTCTGGGCGCTGCGAGAAGGAGATTGCTGGAGGTTCGAGAAGTGGAGGACGGTGATGACCGTAACATTGTACCCAAAAAGAAGGCCAAACCAACCACGCTCGCTACCACCACGGAGAAGTCCAAGAACCAAACCAAGCTTGCTAAATCCACTGTCTCCGCCAAAAACCAGACCAACCTGATGAAACCCAAATCGATCCTGTCCTCCAAGAACCAAACCAGGCCGCTCAAGCCCACAAATTCGACCAAGAAAGCATCGCCCACATCCACCATTCTTGATAAATCCGAGCTCAAGAAGCTCAACTCCACCTTGAAGCTCAAGAAGCTGAATACGACCTCGAAAGCCTCCAATTCCACCAAAGGCGCCTTGTCTTTGGCCAAGAAAAGCTCAGATCTGGGGAAGCTAGCCCCACCCGAGAACAAAACCAAAGAGTCCCAGCTCCAACTCAGCAAGAAGCTCGCTCAGTCCGACTCCAAGAAACAGAGCACAAACAGAGACTCCACCGACCAAGAACCCAAGACCCCCAAGACCCAGAAGCCGAAGCAGCCGAACTGGCTCGACTCAGAGGAGAACAACGATCTGGTCTCCGAGTTCCGAGATCTGCCCACCAAGTTCCAGCAAACCCTTATCCCCGACCTCGAGCGAATCTCCACCACCTCCAAGGCCTACCTCACCCAAGCCAACAAGCAGATGACCAAGGGCTTCAAGCCCTACGTGGGCAACAAGTACGCGCCCACCATCGCGACCCTCGTCTCATGCGCTTTCATCTTGATCCCTCTAGTCCTCGTTTCCCTCGTCTTCAATCGCATTAAGGCCTACTTCTCCCTCCAGAAGCTCCTCATCTTCGTCCAGGTCTACCTCTCCATCTACTTCTCCATCCTCTGCCTCTCCTCGCTGGCCACCGGGCTCGAGCCCCTGAGGTTCTTCTACGCCACTTCGCGGTCCACGTACGTGTGCATACAGATCTTTCAGACGTTTGGGTACGTCCTGTATTTGCTTCTGCTGCTGATGTACCTGGTGCTCGTTTTCTCGACCGACACTAGGCTGGGCTCGAAGTTCTTGGGCTTGGTCCAGACCTTCGTGGGCTTCGCCGTCGGGCTGCATTACTACGTGGCGGTGTTCCACAGGATGGTGCTCCATCAGCCGCCGCGGACCAACTGGAAGGTCCACGGGGTCTACGCCGTCTGCTTCCTCGCGATCTGCTTGTTCGCGAGGGCTGAACGCAGGAAGAAGGCTTACTTGGAAGATGGTGGTGAGGAGGGCAAGAAGAGCTAAAGCTCAAAGACATGTGAATTCTTTGTTGTTACATAATCCAGCATCGGCTCCAAAGGAGTGGAACTTGCAATCAAAGCAATTTGGTGCAAGAATTGGTACAGAAGCTACAATGGGCTTCTTCGATGTCCAAGGATCTGATTGAGGTCAACCATTGGACTTTTTCTTAATTGGGTCTGTCCTTTTCCATTCTTAAATACTAGGGTTTACTCTAATTTTTTGCCCCCTCCCAAGATTAAATGGGAATAATGCAGTATTGGTGTTCCTATTTGAAATAATGAGCATTGTTCTGCAAAAATGTTGGCCGAGCAACTTTGGTGTAATTCTGTAATTGAAGTGATGATTTTGCATGATACCGCTTGGGGCAAAGAACCATGGTGTCATTGCTTTGCTTCGGAGAAAGAGACGGAACCGAGATTGTTTCTTTAATTCATTGCCCTCTTTTAGTCAATTTATGTGGTTATCTGATGTTCGTGTCTCCATTCCAATGTCTTCAATTTAGAGTAAGGACATTCCTATTAACGGAAGTAGGAAGTAGAAAGTAGGCAGGAGAAAGAGGAGTTTTTTCCACATAAAAAGAGAGAATTTCATGAAAAGTATACTAACTCTAAATCTTTCATATGGCGTTCAATTTAGTATTAAAACTTTTCGATTGTCCATTTAAGTTCCTTAACTTTCAAATTTCGTTCGTTTAAGTTATATTGACCACTCATTTACCGGAAAAGCTAACGTGGTGATTTTAAAAAGTTCGGGTGGGAGTAATTTCTTCATTAAAATTTAATGCTAAGTCGTTGCAACTCGGATGAGCAACTTAAATAAATCAAATTTGAAAGCTAAGGAACTTCAACAAGCAATTGAAAAGTTACGACACTGAACTAAGTTTCGTACAAACTTTTGGATCTTTTTATATACTTTTTCAGAGTATTGTTATATTGATACTAGGGAGAAGCAATTTTATGGCGCACAATAGTCGTACTCGATGGATTCCCATGATTCAAATGCAAAGAACATATTTCGTCACATTGATACGATATTAGTAAAAGTTTCGGTAACGACTAGTCAAGAGCACACTTCAAATCAATTACAGTGATAATTATCTACAATTTTAAAATTTTTATAAAGTGCGTTCAAGTTGAGAATCGATTACTTATGCAGCTTATATATTTACTTAAAGAGTTTATAACGTGGTATTTGGTAGAGGTGGCCACGGTTCGGAACCGACCGGTTCCGGTTCGGAACCGACCGGTTCCGATTCGGAACCGGCGGTTCCGGTTCGTGGCCAAGTGTGAACCGGAACCGTCCGGTTCCGGGCCGGTTCCGGTTCGGAACCGGTTCCAGGCCGGTTCCTATTTTTTTCTGTTTTTTTTTTTCCTTTTCCTTTTCTTTTTTTTTTTCTTCCTCCGCGGCCGGCCATAGCCGGGCCGGCGCGGAGGTCGCCGGCCTCTAGGCGAGGCGGCCCTCTCTGCGCGCCGGGCGAGGCCGGCCCTCGCCCGGGCCGGGCGAGGCCGGCCTTGCTCGACGCCGATCGAGCCTCGCCGAGGGCCGGCCTCGCCGATGCCGCGAGGTCGAGCCTCGCCGGTTGCGAGCGGCCGAGCCTCGCCTCGCCGGCGTCGGGCGAGGCCGGCCTCGCCCGGCCCGGCGAGGGCCGCCCTCGCCCGACGCCGGCAACCAACCTCCGCGCCGGCCCCGGCCATGGCCGGTCGGCGGCCGCGGAGGAAGAAAAAAAAATTATAATATAAATTATAATTTTAAAAAACAGAAACAAGGAAAAAAGACAAGAGAAAAAGGAAAAACAGAAAAGGAAAAGGAAAAGAAAAAGAAGAAAAACAGAAAAGGAAAAACAGAAATGAAAATAAAAAAAATACTATTCTTGTGATAGAACATTATTCAATATAAATTGTGATTAAAATGTAAATTGTACTCAAATTTGGGGACAAAAAGACAAGAGAGAAAGAGAGGGCTTCAACTTAATAAATTATCATTAAGCACATTACAATTCGTTACAACGATCTTAAAAAAAAAGGAGTACAATATATATACCCTAAAATTATCCCAAAACCTAAGCATTCCGTTCGCAGGGGACCAGAGGTCACATATCGTCGGATTATATTTCGGTTTCCCTAAGCTCACGTGGGCGTACCCGGTATGAGAAACAAGAGTTCCCGAAATATTTGCCAACTCCAATAGTTCTTTTACCCTCAATCGTCACTACCCGTTCCAGTACCGATAGTGGTAGCGGTAGTATCTCCGTCGTTAAAGAATTCGGATTCATTATTCGATCTATCTCTTGTTGCCGGTATTGAGCCTTCGTCCAATCAAAACACAAGCTTGCATCTCCACTGATTCTGGATATAATCTTGAACGATGTTCGTTCAAAATATTACCTCCGGCACTGAATGCTTGTTCGACCGCAACTGTGGAACAAGGGGTTGAAAAAATCTGTTTTGCAATAAGAGAAAGGATTGGGTATTGGCTTGCGTGCCTCTTCCACCAATCCAAAATAAAAAAATCTGTACCACCTTCGGCTTCAGTAAACTCAAATAAAATGGTTAGATAACTCTCTAATTCAGAAATATTTCCTATTACTCCCTTTTGTTTTTTTTTGTCTATGTAATAAAAGTTGGTACCCTCTACTAATTTTACCTGTACTGTCATTTTGTATCTCCGTAGATTGAGAAGATCTAATATCACCTAAATTATATTTAGTATAAAATTCATTATATAATTCTATTACTACGTTTTTAACCTCACGTACTATGGTTGTAACATTTGTCACATCATAATGTAAACATTGATAATACGCACGCAAAAAATCATTTAAGCCATCCAATTTGCAACGCGGATCAAAAACACAAGCAACTAAATAAATCATGGGAATTTCACTATAATAATGAAGCCATTTCATTTTCATTGCAACTATAGTATGTTGTAATTCAACATCATTTTCATATTCATCAAAAGTTCCGACAATATTAGTACACTCTACTAAAAATAAATATGTAGTAGGATAATAAACACCAGACAAAGTATAAGTTGCATCATTAAAAACCTTTAAAAGATCTAAATTTTTTTGGCAAATATGCCACTCTTGTGGGTATAAATTAATCTCAGGTATATTATTAGAAATGAATGCACATAATAAATCTTTATATGCTAAAGATTCACTAAGCAAGTGGAAAGTAGAATTCCAACGAGTTGGAACATCTCTTGGAAATCTTTTTGGCTTTTTGCCATTATCTCTACAAAATCTACCCCATTCTTTCATTTTTTTGGGATGTTTCCATAAAAATTGAATCGCCGTTTTTATTGGTTGAAGAAAAATATCAAGAGTTTTCAAACCATCTTGTACACATAAATTTAAAACATGACAAGCACATCTAATGTGAAAAAATTTTCCGCCAAAAGCGGGTTTACAAATATTTTCTAACTCGGCAATTGAAGCGGTATTTGTTGCGGCATTATCAAAACCAATTGAAAAAATTTTGTTAAGCAAATAATATTCTTCTAAAACTTGCCTAATTAGTCTATAAATATTATTTGCCGTATGATGATCATCGAAAACTCTAAATGCAATAACTCTTTTTTAAATAGTCCACTCGTCATCTATCCAATGACATGTTATGCCCATGTAAGAATGATTTTGCCAATGATCACTCCAAATATCACTACCTATATGCACGCATCCATTAAATTGCATAAAAAAGTTTTGTAAATCATTTTTTCCATTTTTGTAAAGATCTTTAATTACTCGTTTAGTTGTATTTCTAGAAACACGTTTTGCTTGTGGAGCACATGCTTTTTGTACAAATTCATTAAAACGAAATCTTTCTCCAAAATTAAATGCTAAATGCTCAACGGAAATAAATTTGCCTAATTCTTCCTTATAAGTTTTTTCATTAAAACGAAATAAAGGGGAAGTGTTAGGATTGACGTACCCGGAAATTTGTTGTTGCCCGATATCGATTCCCGTTTCAGTTGGATGTTTGCTCATAAGATGTCGTTTAAATGTTCCATATCCTTGTCCACCTGTATATTTATATATTTTTCCACAATATTTACAAATTATATCATACATTTTTTGATCGATATCAAACCTTTCCATTTTCGTGAAGTGATTCCAAATGTCGGATGTAAATTCCCGTTCCGCTTCCTTTGTTGTAGATATTTCAGCAGGAGGATGAAAACTTTCTTGCGTCGGGACGCGCTCCACATCGTGAAAAATGTTGATTTCATCATCTTGAAAATCTGCATATTCACGAGGATCAAAAGAATGATGGGATTCCGTCGCGATATTCTTACCTTTGCCAGTTGGCACTCGACTTCCACTTGCCATTTTTCGAATGGATTGAGAGAATTGAGCGGATTAATTGGGAGAATTAAGAAAGAATTGCGTGGATTGGGAAAATTGAGAGAATTTCAGAGAATTTCGAGTATTGAGAAAATTTGAGACTTGAGAGAAGAGAATTGGAGAGAATTGTGTGTGTATTGTGAGAATTTGAGAGAATTTATAGGAAAAAAATAAAAGAAAATTTAGAATTAAAAAAATAAAACATAACCGTTGCAAAATTGCAACGGTTATGTGTTTTTTTTTTATTATAAAACGCCCGTTGGGGCGTAGCCGTTGCCCCAACGGCCGCACCGCAAGGTCTTTGCGGCGCAGCAGGGCTCGCACGTCTGCGAGCCTGCCGCGGATAAATTTTTTTTTTTTTGTTGGGCCGTTGGCTCGTTCTCCTGCAGGCTCTTGCAGCACTGCAAGATGCCTCGCACCGCAGTCGTGGCTTGGCCTGCAGCTTTTTTTTTTTTCGCGAGAATCGGCCCGGAACCGGCGGTTCCGGGCCGGTTCAAATTTTTTTGGAACCGGAACCGGGACCGTATGTCACGGGCCGGTTCCGGTTCCGAACCGCGGGCCCGGTCAACGGGTCGGGCCTGGGTTTGACCGGACCGGTTCCGATCCGGTTCCGGGTCAAAACCGGCCCGTGGCCACTTCTAGTATTTGGTAATATAATTTTGCATAACCTAACTCTCTAGAATATCTTATGAGAAAATTTCAAGGCTCTCCTCACTTTTACATCACATTCCCAGTTGCAGGCTTTACTTTTAAAACTGACATTTTTCTGACGTCAGCTGTCAGGGCAATGAGAAAAAAGCTAAAGTCCACTCTGTTCAAGAAATCACTTGAAAAGACCGTTCATCCAAAATCACCGGTAAACCCTACTGCCAAAACAACTTGATGTCTTTCCACCCCGCCCTACTTGCTATCGGCGGCACCATCTTATCGCCTTCGAGCTCAATCGTCAGCATTGCAGCGGGCTTCTCCCGATAGGTTCTATCTCTGACTGCAACCTCGATGAGAGAGAGAGAGAGGAGGGGAGGGCGGTCATGGCGGTTGTGCAAGTAGAGTCATTGGAGATGACAACAGAGATGGATATAATGGCAGAAGCAATTATCAACAGTGAAGGCGACAGCAACAGTGAAGACGGCGGTGAGCAATGTTGCATTTATAGAAGAGAGAGAGAGAGAGAGAGGAGATCAGATTTGGCATTTAGAGTTATGTAGCGGGGTGACTGAGAAGAGTGACAATGACATTTTCTTGAAAAGAAATGACCATCAGTGAATGAACCAATAATGCCGAATGTGATTCGAAATACAGCATTAAAGTCCACTATGTAAAGTGATAGATCTTAAAAGTAGACGATGAGATCTTTAGATATGAACAAGAAAAACTAGCTAGTGATTTTTAAACATCTTGTTTTAGCTTTGCTCGGCACCGTGTTTTTGAAGAAAGTCTCATACAATCGTGCCCTGAATTACAATGAATTGCAAATATGGTTATCATCTACTTTTAATTTTAGTCAAAATATCATCCATAGTTTAATATCCCAATAATTGAATATATGATTGAAGAAAATTTCCACAAATATAACCTTTTGACAACTTTTATTGCTTTCGACCAAAAAAAAAAAACAGACAACTTTTATTGCTTGGTGACGAATCTATTGGAGGCCATGGCGTATGATTTAGGTTCGAGAAAGGATGCGCATCGTGCCCTAGCCTGCCGCCGACACTAGTGGCTCGATCAATGTCCAAATTCGTCCTTTGACATTTTGAGCGATTTCTAATCCAATTAGAAATATAATGCACATCGACACTGGCGCCTGAAAGTCAAAGGCAGGGGGCGAAAGCATTAGGCCCCACGTCAGCTCTTCCGGCCCTCACTGACTTTTAGGTTTATTGGTGGAGTTGTTGACCATTTATGTTGACAAAGATCAACTTCGTTTGTGGGGCATTACCTTTACTCTTCTTTTTGCCTCGCGTTGGACTTTGGAAATCGAAATTGAAGCTGCAATTGCAAGAGTGGACTGAATAATGTGAAGGGACTTTTCTACCATGTCGCGCAATTTCGCACGACTGAATTGTGGTGTGGAATCCCAGTCGTCTGATAAAAAAGAATTGATGTCTACCGTTGGATGACAAAAAAGTTTCCACTGTTGAATTAAAACAAATGGCACTGAAGCTCAGGCATGATGTTAATTCTATTGAGATCTATTTGCAAGATGAGTCTTGTTAACAAGTGTCCAGACGGCACTAGTTGACCTGGACACTTGTTAACACCGCTAAAATTAGTAATAACGGATACAAAAGTACATTCGAACCTAAGTAATAACACATTTGAAAGTCACTTACTTCAATTAGAAGTTATATATTTCCAAAGTACAATTAATGTTTCTTAACAAGGGTCCTAAGGGCTCTCTTTAATATTTTCCTTTACAAAATGGGTCTTATTAACAGGTGTCCTTACAATATTCTCGACTTTTCGCTTCTAAATTTCTCTCTTTCTTGAACGAGAGCTTCTCTCTCTGCATGAAAGTTCTCACTACTTGTTGGTGCTGCCAACATCTTTCTCGATAAAGATCTCTGACCTTCTCATACCTTTTTCCTCTTAATTTGAATGGATTTGTCTTCTCTTCTTGGTCTTTTAGCTTGCTTTTTCATCATTTCACAATAGTTTATGGACACAAAAAAAGTCCCAATATTTAGTTAACATTCTCAAATGCAACCGATAAAGAGATAACCGTCAAGAAAGTAAAGACGACAAAACTATCAAGTAATTGAGTCAACAATCTTGGATACAACCATAAAAGAGGTAAACATCTAGGTAGTGGAGTGAATAACCGTCGAGTAGTGGAGTCGATAACCGTCGAGTAGTTGAGTCGATAATGGTGGAGAAGTGGAGTGATAATCGTCGAGTAGTGAAGTCAATAATCATGGTTGTAGCTATTTGTGTAATCGTCAATCGTGGGTAATAAATATGCCAACTGTTGTACTCTTTGTAGAAACGTCCCAATCAATCACAGAATTCAAACTTCTCCAAATTTGTCCTTATCTTTACTTTCCTGCAATTTACATGGCTGGCTGCAATTATCTCCAGTCTCGATACCTTAAATTTTCTTGTCAATCCACATTTTCTATCCAAGAATCAATAAATGACCCTTCATAACCTTTGTCAATTTCCATATCGATTTTGCCATATTCTTAAATGTATTTCATCGACACTTTTGGCTTTAGCACACCTGGTGGGACTTGTTTGTTGATCTAAGGAAGCTACCATTCTAGGAACCAGATGCCAACAATAGCTAAACAGTGTTGCTGGTAATAACAAAGTAGTAACACGAACTGGGAGTGAAGTTACCACACACTCTGAATCTTTAGCCATTAACCGAGCAGTAGAAGAAGTCCAACGCAAGGGGGGTAGACCTTCCCCGACGCCTAAGTAAGGAACCATTGGGGGAAGTTGCATCAAATCCTAGCATCATATCTGCCATGAGAAGATTGCTCGAAGAACAGTAAAATGATATGGCTAATTACATCGTGAGCCGCATATTAGGTGTGATCAAGCCAATAGTCATCAATGCTGTGCATGACAATCTGTCGAGGCTAGGATCGTCCAATCAACCACCAATTTCCAAGTCAATCCAATGTTATCAACGTATGTTCCTAGTTTCCCTACTTTTTATAATGGAAACAATGTTGGTCAAAACAATCTAGTTGGTAATAGCAAATCGGCAAACTAGATTGGTCAACAGACAGGTCAAATGCTGGAAGTGAAAAATTTCAGGCCATCATTATGGTACCGCCAAATGCCAACCTCTCTATTAGGCCTAACTTATCGATCATTGTCAATATAGATAATCCAAAAAGGCCAGCATCACTGCAGAGGGGGCAAGACGACCTACCAAATCCTCAATTAAACCAAACACAATTTGCTGAAGAAATTGGACAAGAATTGGGTTTATATAGAGGAATTGTTAGGCTTGTTTACAAGAAATTTTATCCCGAATGGGTTGATAATCAACCTTTTACTAGAGGTTTTGAAATTCCTGACTTTGCCATCTTCATTGGCGAAGATGAACAGTCAACCATTGAACATATTGATTGATTTTTAACCCAACGTGGAGAAGTAGGAGCGAATGATTAAGACTTAGGCTATTTTCTTTGTCTTTGTCAAAAATTGCTTTAACTTAATACTCTAAGTTACCACCTAATTCGGTGTGAGAGGGTAAAGATTGAAAGACAATTTCATTTTCAATTTTTATGAAAATAATACTCAAGGTATCCAATGCCAACCTGGCTAAATTGTATGGACATAGCAATGACTCAGTTGACCAGTTTGTTGGTTGGTTTAAGAAAGATAAGAATATATGCCTAAGAAATATAAAAATTTGGACTTTAATGGGTTGAAATTTAATTTAAGGGAAAGATCCGAAGGCCGAGACTTTGCTTATTTATTCAATTGGCAATGAGAATGCCTAAGATTGAGTAATTGCTTAAAGACAGAAATAAAGGGCCACAAGAAAACTTTATACAAAACTTGGCTTCAATAGAAAGATATGAGTCAGATGATGAATCTGACCAAAATGAAATTCAACAATGAGGAATCATATTTGCAATGATAATAGGCCATATAATGACCCTTGATTATTTAATTTAGAATTATCTTTTAAAAGGAGGTATATGTTGATACCAAAAAATATCCAAGTGTTCGGTCGACAATCTCAAATGCAATTGATAATAAGATAACCGTTAAGGAAGTGGAGGCGACAAGATCGTCAACTAATGGAATGGACAGTCTCAAATGCAACTGTCAAGGTAGTGGAGTCGGTAACCATCGAGTAGTTAAATCAATAACCATCGAATAGTGGAGTCCATAACTGTCCAGTAGTGGAGTCGATAATATTGTTGTAATCATTTGTGTACCCGTTGATTGTGAGTTATAGATACCCTAAATATACTCTTTGTAAAGACACCTCAATCAATCGCAAAACTCAATGTTCTTATGCAAAGTTCTTTATCTTTACTTTTATGCAATTTACATGGCTGGCCCCGATTGTCTCCAGTCACAGTACCTTTAATTTTCTTGTTAATCCGCATTTCCTATTTAATAATCCACAAAGGACCCTTTGCAACCTTTGTCTATATCGATCCATCCATATTCTAAAAGGTATTTCATCAAAACTTTCGGCGAAACAAGTCTACACTCACTTCTTCCCTATTCATCTTTACATAGTTGATTTGCACTGGCTAATTCGAATTTCTTTATATCATCTTTTGTTTCATTTTTCTCTGTCATCAACTTGCTCTCATCTCTCACCTTTTTACTTCATTTCCTCTACAGTCCTTCGACCAGGGAAGCTACCACACCTGGTACGAATCTGAAGAAAGCCTCTGGGATCGATCAGCTTACTTTGCTGGAGAATCAGGATCCGGTCAATCCAGAGTTGCTGAACATAGGACAAAGCCATTTCGTCGATGGTGGTGACTGAATGTAATCAGCAAAGGTGCACCGACACCTTGAGAAAGAGGTTGCTTTCTTTGTGTCGGTGACCGCGAAGGATACGCAATTGCATGTGCAAGTGGGAAAATACACCTTATTAAAAAAAAACAAAACCTATCGCTTTCCTTATGAAAGAGCATGCAGTCGCCATCCGTTTCAGGTACATACGATAAATTACTTAAGAAAAAAGAATAGGAACAGTGTGTATAGGCGCATTATCGGGTGCATACTATAATGTCTTGGGACTGAGGTACGGACGAGAAGGCATTATATTTGTAAATTTCGTTAACATGTTCCAAGACATATAAAATATTGGGTTAATACCACCAAAAACCCCAAACTGGTACATCTGTGATAAATTTACCCCAAACTAATTTTTTTACCATGGAAAACCCAAATTGGTACACCTGTGACAAATTTACCCAACTAATTTTTTTACCATAAAAAACCTCAAACCGGCACATTTGTGACAAATTTACCTTTAGTTAAATTGGATTAATACCATAAAAAATCACAAATCGTTACATTTGTGATAAACGGAGGATAAAATCCCGAACTGGTACATCCGTTAGTTGCCTAGTATCATTCAACTTAGAAATTTAATGGTTAAATTTAATGGAAACTAACAGAGGGAAAATTATCACAGGTAAATCAGTTTGGAGTTTTTGTTAGTCAAACAATTAGTTTAGGATAAATTTGTCACAAGTGTACTAGTTTGGGATTTTTCGCGTTGTTAATCTAAAAATATTTAGGGCGTGTTTGTTTATGTTTTTTTATTCATGCTCAAAATGTAAAACATCATCTAATTTTTTTTAAAATTATGAAATAAA